ATAAGTCTGGGTTAACTTTCTTTTTTTTTTTATTGTTTTTAAGATACACAGATTTTACAAATGAACCATTTGTAATCCCAGAATATCTCCAGAAGCAACTGGAGGAATTTGAAGCTCTCTATGAAGTTTCAAATAGTAACAGTTATAATAATCCAGATCCAATCTCTGAGAGTTTATATGAGTAAGTATGAATTTCTGCACTCAGCAAATTCAAGGGTTTCATTTTACTTCATAATTCTTATCATTTATTGCATTAAGTCCCTAATTTGGGGGGTCTGGTGTCTGTAGGTGTGTCCATAAAGGTATGGACTAATACACTGAAATACAAGTTCAGAATGAAATTTTAAAAACTTGGATTAAAACTAACAATTTTTAAATTTTTTTTCCAGGTATTTCACTCAAATCTTGGATGAACATGGCCCTCTGGAAATTAATAATAAATTACTAGTTGGGGAATATGAAAATTTCCCTGAAGAAACTCGAAAGGTCGTGGAGGATCAGGGTGGCCTGGAATCCTTCCTTCTGAAATCCCTTCGGTTCATTATGGTGGATAATCTGATTTGCTTGAAGAAGCACTCGGTCTTCTTTGAGGGAAATACAAACAGAAATGAAAATGATATAGGTGGGAATGTGCAAGGGAATCATTCCCAGAAAAACCTCCGGTTAAATCCAGATGCTGAGGAATTCAAGCCCCAGTCCTACCCTCTTCAACCCCATATACCACCATCACCTGACTTAAGTTATGAGACTCTACAATATTTGCCCTATTCTTCCTTCCCTGCTTCCTGGAGATCCAGGAATTCCTTGCAAAGCCAGAGTATGGATTCCATGGATAACAAGTCGTTGTTTGCAGACGTTTTACTAAAAAACCTGGATTCTACAAGTCCCATATTTTTGCCTCAGACTTCCTGGGGTTACCAGTATGGAAGGATATTGCCTGTGCCTTCTCCAGTGCCTGTCCTGCCACATGTTGCCAGGCAGCCTGGTTATATCTATGCTGATCCTGCAGCTCCTCAGGATAATCAGGAATCAGCAATTCCAGTCAGAAAATACATCTGTGATGGTCTTATCCCAGCTGAAACCCAAACGTGTGAAGACCCCTGGGGCCGGTTGGAGAACTTGGATAAAGAGAATTTGGCTGCTCCAGGTAGCTCAGATGAAGCTGAAAATGGTAAACAGGTTATTAAGGTGGA